CCATTCGTTTGATTTCAGCAGTGGGAGTCGGCAGCTGAATGCTCTATTGAGAATCCGCCCTTGGCTGAGCACGGCTTTAAAAGAAAAACGCAGCGCTGCTCTCCTAGCACGAAGCCCAAGCGTCTTGCTTCTACCACACTTACGGTCCAAATGCCAAGCGGGTGGAAACGTTTAACGTGGGCATGATGCTGGGTGGATTTGGGAGCACCAGAAGCGCAGCCCTGGATACACTTCACTTCCCTTGAGCACGACCTGGGTAAGATTTCACAGCCAACTAGACTGGGAATGTGGGCTGGGCTTCTCAGCAGAGCTACACCCCAGCAGCTGGAACGGGCAGCTTTAGTTCCACCTTGGGCAGCCATTAGGGTCTATGCCAATGGGAGTTTGTCATGCCCAGGGACAGTCTTGTCGGGAGTTCTGGACGGCAGGGACTGGTCAGTTAGACTCCAGTTTACAGCCTTAGCTAGTCAATAGCAACTGACTTCTGTTCTTAGTTCTTGCAGAGCGGGAGGATCCTGGCAGCTCTGGAAAGTTCACCTTGTTTGGTGAGAAGGGGACTGCTTACGTGGGGATACGCACTGTGTGAAGCAGTAGCCCCTTTGGGTTTCTCCCTCCTAGACTAGCACAGCTGGAAGGCACCGCTTGCACCCATGGGACCTGGAGCACAGGAGCCCCCGGGGTTACACGGAGGCAGCACAACTCACTCCAGATGCCACTGTTGCAAACACTGGTGGTTACAGCTGTGATGTTTACCGAGGCCAGAGGCTGTGTGCATTAGCAGCCAGGACTCCTGGCCAGGCCCACAAAGGGCTCTCTGCCCACCAACACTCCAGGGGACTTCTGCTGAGCTACACCTGGTCTAGTTCCATGCAGGCACTGCAGCATTCACAGAGCTAGAATAGCATTCAATTGACTTATATCAGACTAACTTACACAGCACATTTAAAAAAAGACACATTTATTCAGCGTCATGATCAGTCTATTACAATTAGCAATCAACAGCATGGGTGCGGAAAAAAATAAAATAAATTCTACATAAAAACCCTTGTTGGAATGCTTTGCACTTTCCACAGAACAGAAACTAAAATAACCTGTGATACAATTAGTCACAAATACAGTCCTCATGTTTGCAAAGGAGAGCTTGTCTAACACATGTCTTCATGTAGCAGCTACACCCTGCCACAACTGTGTCTGGCTGAGTTCACACCTGTAGTAACCTGCAGCTTCCCTGCCCCTTCTCTGGCTCTCCTCTCCTGCTAAGCTTTGTTTCCTGTTGAATAATATGGAATAAAGTTGTTAATCTAAACACATTGAGACTCAAGGCTACAATCCAACAGCAAGTTCGTTCTCACAGATCTGAATATTAGCTTAAACATCCACATTTTACTGCAAGTAAAGCTTTTAACTACTGTGTACTTGCTCAGCTATATTAATTACCGTTACTGATTCACTAGTGTGGTACGTTTGACCGAGGTGCGCTACAGCCAGATGCTTACCTGGTAGTTAAAACCTTCTCCCACCGCCATAATTACCACCACCACCGGAGCCACCATAGCCGCCTGGGAGAACAATTGGAGAGGGTGTTACAGCATGCACACAGCTTGCCAGATCCCCAATTAGATCCAGGTAAGCCACAACGGCAAAGGACTGTTACCCTGGGAGGTCTACAATACAAGTCTAGTCTGAAGTGTGAGTCAGTTGCTGTTGGATAGTCAGCTAGAACGATATTTAGTCAAGTCTGCAACAGGGAAAACGGCCCAAGAGATTTTCATGCCAGGAAGAAGGCTTTCTAACCGTAGCCTAGGGAATGTTCTTTTGATTAAAGGGGGACAGTTGTAGCCTCTAGGCAAGTAGATTTTAAACTTGTACCACAAGTGCGGCACCACTGTAAGCAGAGCGCTTGGCCAGCCGCTCAGGAGGGATTCAAATGCAGCCCAGCTGATTAGCAGAGCGCCCATGGCTAGACTGCGTATCTACCGGTGGGATACATTTGCACATGCCTCGGCGCACACAGAAAACTTTATTCCGCATGTTGGTGGAAAAAAAATCCGCAGATGGATGGGAAAGATCAGAGGAACCCTGTGTGACTTCCCTCACGCTACTCCCCTTTACACCAGACCCCTGTGTGGGTGACTCACCTCCACTGCCATATGGACCAGAGCTCCGGCCGCCGCCGAAGTTCCCTCCTTTCATAGGGCCGAAGTTTGAAGATTGGCTGTTGTAACTGCCAAAGTCGTTGTAGTTCCCGCCTCCTCCAAAGTTGCTTCCTAGAGCAGAACAAGCAGTAAGTGGGCGAAGGTTCTTAAGGCCCCTCTCAGCCGGACCTCTGCCACCCGAAGCAACAGCATTTGGCTGCTGAGAAGTTTTTGCCACAGGGTGTGAACTGGAGAGCAGTCGCCACAGGGAGGGTGTAACTTGGCAGAGAGATGGGGCACAATGGAACCCTTCCCGCTGCACTGAAGGTTCACGTCCAAAGCATGTGTTACCAGGACAGTCTCCATTGAGCTACGGGGGGCACCTACCTCCACTGCCGCTGCCAAAGCCGCCCCCTCCGTTGTTATAGCCGTCGTAGTTGCTACTGCCACCGTAACCTCTGCTTCCTCCTGAGTAGCTAGGGCCGCCACCACCGCCGCCACCGTAACCTACAAGACACGCACACACAGCGCTGCTGAATTCAAGCATTTCACAGCCCAAAGTCCACGGACAGAACTAGAGACTCCCCTGAGCACGGATCCAGCACGTGTGCTGGTCAATCAAGAGATTTGCCTCGGAAACCGTCACCAATCCGTGCAACACACTCAGCACAACTGTTCTATCAGCCGTCCACCAGGCCAAGGGACTGGAGTGGAGATGCCTTCCTCATGCTTCTTCCTGGGCTTGGCACCATGGAGCCTGGAAACAAGGCAACCGTGGCCACTGCCGTGTCAGGGGAGTTATGCTTTGGCCTTACCCTCATTGCTAAATCCATTATAGCCGTCTCCACCTCCTCCATAGCCACCACCGCGGCTGCCACCAAACCCACCTGAAAAGAACAAACCTTTGTGTTCAGTCTATCCGAGGAGGGACACTGCCAGGTGCTGGGGCCCAGGGCATATGGTTGGCAAGCCACTTTTACAGAATGAAGCAGACATGTCAATTGGTGGAGGTTGTTGCAGGGAATCAGGGATTCCAAGCGGTACCTGAACAAGTCCTTGTAGCATTGGTTTGAACGCATGAGCCAAACAAGGAGAATTACACTTAGTCCAGTGCCCAAATCAAGTTAAAAAAATATCCATAGCCAAAACTGCAGCAGCCATTTGGGTTAACCTAGGGGCTGAAACTGGAGTTTTGTTAGCCTGACCATATCCGTAGAACTTGAATCACAAGGACCCCATAAAGTCCCTTACCACGACCACTGAAGTTGCTGCCACGGTTGAAGTTGTCATTGCCACCAAATCCACCTCCACGGCCGCCACCACCACTGAAGTTCCCAGAGCCACTGCGGCCTAAAGAAGAGAGCAGCGCCTGTTAGCAGCACGGCTCATATTGCCAAAGGTCGGTTTGGATGAGTTCCAAAGCAATGGATGGGAAACTGGCACTCACCTCGTTGACTGGATGATGCACTGGCCATTTCTTGCTTTGACAGGGCTTTCCTCACTTCGCAGTTGTGGCCGTTCACAGTGTGATACTTCTGAACTGGAAGGGAAGAATTAGACGTTAACTGTCACCGTGTCCTGATTTGAAACCCAGGATGGGTCCCCTTCCAATGCTATACAATCTTTACAGTTCACAGAGCTGTGCACAGAGAACTTACTAACAATCTTGTCCACAGAGTCGTGGTCATCAAAGGTGACAAATGCAAAGCCCCTCTTCTTGCCGCTCCCACGGTCTGTCATGATCTCAATCACTTCGATTTTGCCGTACTGTTCAAAGTAGTCTCGCAGGTGGTGTTCCTCTGTGTCTTCCTTAATTCCCCCCACGAAGATTTTCTTCACTGTCAGGTGAGCACCTGGCCTCTGAGAATCCTAGACAGGACAGAGGGCAAGCTCAAGCATTATCTGAGATGTACAATTTTAGAGCTCCATAAACAGTAGTTCGAAATGCAACAGTCCAGTCCCATTGCTCAAAGACAGAGACAATGCAAAATCGTGATACGTGTCCACCACAAATTAAACTGGTCCCCATTTACAATCACTTGTACAGGATGCATCTCTATAAACCAGAATGGTTTAACCCTAACCGTTCCGGGCCACAGATGTTCCAAGATGTCCCAGTCCTGGCACACTGTGGGGGGTCCAGGAGCCTGGCCGAGGGAAGGGGGGGGGAGGGAGAAAGAGAGAGAGAGAGAAGAGAAGAGGCAGGGCAAAAGCTGGTGTGGGTGCCAGCTGAGCTGTGAAAAAAGCAAGGGGGGGGGGGGGGAGGGGGCGGATCACCA